ATTCTTGTTTGCCTTTAGTTGTTCATGTGCAGGTCACGTCTGCCGTCATGTATGCACAGCAGTGCTAGTTTTTTAGTTGTCAGATGTACAGTTATCTACAGTAATATTAGCATTGTCATTGTCGTGTGTGCAGTTTTCTGCAGTAACATTGCTGTATTTTATGTTGCATCAGGCGAGTAGGGACCTGATGATTATCAGTTTCATTTCTCATGCACAGATAATTGGTTTGCATCGTTGGTTTCATATTAATCTTATTGATCACAGAGGTAGAATCAGCCATGCATTGTGTACTTGTATCCAGTTGGCAGTGATTTAAGTTTTTTTCCATGCATTTTTGTGTGCATTTCTGCAGTTTGTATGTATCACTCAGTCGATGTGAATGTGTTGTGTTTTTTTTAAATATATGTACACATGTTGATGTTGCATTTTCTTTGTTTGCACGTGGATGTTTTGTGCATTTCTGCAGTTTGCATTATTACTCTGTTGATGTGAATAATTTTTTTTTTTATGGGTATACATGTTGATGTCGTGTTTTCTTTGTTTGCACGTGCATGTGGAGACAGTTGGGGTGCAGTTTTCAGAAAATAAAGACCTGGTGTGGAAGCTGTCACTTTATCTTCCAAAGATGTTCTTAGACAGGTCACACAGTTGGGCAGTGGAGATGTGGCATATTCAGAAACTTTACAATGTTTGGATCGAATAATGAGACCTGACAAGGGTATTGTGATTGCAGAGAATTATACAGACACTTTTTGTAGTAACTTCAACTTACTATTCTAGACACGTGTACTAACATAACGTGATATTTTACTCACTCATATATCATTCATATATGCATGTAGGCTCAAACTTAAGAGGAGAATGATGCATCTTGCTGGTTTATATTTATATGTCTGTGCTTAGTTACTTAGTTCGATCCTATCTTCTCTTTAGGAAATATAACAGATATTAACAAAGGTCAATGACCGTAATTCAAGTGTTTTTTTCATTGGATTGCATTTGAGAAAAGGAAAGTGAGGAGTTAATCTTGCACAGAATAGTTAACATACATGACAGTATTAATATATAGTAGTCTCAGATACGTAATTATGTTTGAACAACCACATAGTACACACAATAATGCCCTATATGCAAATGAATGGTAAAGAGATAGCATAAAAATACCTGGGAGCAAGTTTTGATCGGATCCTTAACTGTAAATTCCAAGTTCTTACTCTGATCAACAAGGCCAGAAAGAGTTTGACTGCAATGAGAATTATAGCTGCCATGTTTGGTCAACAAAGGCTACTTGTTATCCTCTGACAGTGTTTGATCCTCTCTGTCATAGAATATTCACTGGCAATCCTCACTATCAGAAGACAAATCGACAGACTGAAAAAGTAACAAAATGCAGCAGCGTTCATCATACACTAAACATTTAGAGCAGTGAGATACCTTCTAGATCTTCCAGATGTAAACAACAGGATTGAATGGCCGAAAACTCAGGAATTCATTACTGTATGTTCGCTCAGCCACTCGGTGAACAAGCTAAATCAAGGTGAGGTACATACAGAAACAGGGGCTCCATCTGATACATCATGCAGCATTAAGCAATATCACCTTCATTTTTGTCCCAGCTTTTCTTCTCTATGTAACCTCATGTTACAGAGCTGTTTTCTTTACAATTAAGCAGTTGAGGCATCCATTTATGATGAAATGACATAAAATCTACTAGGACATTGAAGTAAATAAAATAACTAAAAATCAACTAGGATGTTGAAGTGTTAAAAAAAGAAGACATAAAATCTACTAGGATTTTAAATGAACAAAGTGACTAAAAATCTACTTAGGGTGTTGAAGTGAAAAAAAAATGACATAATATCTACTAGGGTATTGAAGTGAAAAAAAATGACATTAAAATCTACTAGGGTATTGAAGTTAATAAAATGACACACAGTCTGATGGGATGCTGAAGAGAATAACATGACATAAATTTGAAGTGAATAAAATCTACTGGGATGTTGAGGTGAATAAAATCTACTGGGATGTTGAGGTGAATAAAATGACTCAAAATCTACTTGAAGGGAAGAAACTGGTTCAGTTTCTACAAGCTTGTTGAATTAAAAATATAATACATTTGTGAACAATTTGAAGTTACCATTTTGCATACATTTAGTGCAAATATTATTTTTATTATATGAATTATATAACTGTGGAATTAAGATTATATGTTTGTTACAATTTAGGATTAGACACAAAAATACTTACTAAGTCATTTTAAAAATTTATAACTGGGTTTTGACCTCATTGAATTCTTTTGTTTTATTACAGCTCCATGAACGCTTAGCTCATAACCGTCTATCTGGTACTGACTCCACCACAGCAGCAACTACAACAGCAACATCAACTACTACAGATACAGAGGGCAAGCCTGGCGACAGGTTTGTCATGCAGTTTTACCAGTACTGTCCTGTATGTTATATGTTTAGGGATGATGATTTGAAACATTGTTGTTTGCTTTTATATTATAAGGTTTCCTCTGTGGGTTCCAGGGCCCCATTGTGAGGAGAAAAGGAATAGGCCCAAACAAGCATGTTGCAGGAGTCAACAAAGGGAAGGAGGGGGGATCCTTCAAAGTTGGAGTGCATCTGCCTGGGAGGCAAGGAACCAGCAGTCTGCATACACATAAGCCAGATCTTTAAATAGATGTGCACACGACACTCGGGTTTTGGTGCAATACTTAAGTCCTGAGGTGGGCAAACAACCAGGACTTTCTGTCAGAGTTAACTACCGGTGAACACAAAGAAAAAAAGAAAAGATATTGTCATGAAAAAATATCAACCAGAAGGAGAGGTACGACTAGTGAGCTTCCTAATAAAACACAGTGATGAAAACAAAGTGAACATGGCAGCTAGAAAACATTCATCAGTAAAGCAGAACAACATGGATAATGATAAAATTATGTAAACTTAAACAAAAATTAATTATGCCATCCTAACAGTGGAGATGGGCTGCCATGTATTCACTGCCAACTCTGAGAATATTATATGCAGTTGCTTCCATGGTGCGACTCTCATCATTGGCACCTTTGCGTCTTTCCAGACGATAGTGTTATATTGCGCTGTGAGGAGGCATGAGACTCACAACCCATGGCGATGTCGAGTGTGACTAGCAAGACCCGAGAATCTGATAATCACAGTTCCAGCTTCGTAGTTGCTCCATTCATGTACCAGTAAAAACCACACAGAATGTCCATCACTGTCCCCTGTTTAAAAACATTGACACATAGACTGCAGTTTCAGCGAAGCCAACAGCATACACACACTCTCATGAAATGCATCTGAAGTGCCAACACAAGCAGGCCGGTACCAGAAATAGACCAGAAGTGACCTAAAGAGAGGTCATGGTCAAAGGGAAATTAGGCAAAGGGGGAAAAAATGGATGCAGTTGTTGAACATAAAGGTCATGTAGAGATAGAGAACCCAACTGAAAGATAAGCTGGGTCGTCAGCGACTTACAACCTCTTTCATTAGATGAAAAAGACAATATGTTGTCCGCATTACATAGAATCTTTATGTGAATATTCTCCAACCCTTTCTGTGCTTGGATACTTGGCAGATTTAGAGAGTCTGAATATTGATGCTAAGTGGTTAGTAGGCTTTCTTACCACTGACACCACCGAGTTGGGAAGGTTCCAGCCCCAACAAAAGCAGAATTTTTTCTAACCAGTGCTGCTCTGTGGTCGGCCCAGCCTTGCAAAGGGGTTTTGTGAATTAAAAATTTAAAAACAGAAAAATTCACTGTTATTACTTAGAATATCCGTAAGGGAGGGAAACGCAGAGAGAGAAAAACAGTCAAAGGTTTCTGCGAAAATACTGAATGGTGACTAAGAATTTCATCAAGTGAGGAAAGGAAATGCACAGAGAAAAACAGTTGAACATTTCAGCAAAAACACTAACAGTTCAACGTGGGATTGGGGGGGGGGGTGTTATTACACAGAGAAAAACAATCAAAATTGTTGGCGGTAACACTGATCTGTGACTTAGGAGATCAGTGAGACAGAGAGTAGAAAGGGGGAGAACACAGAGAACAAAAAGTAAACAAAACGCTTCAGCAAAAGCCTTCACCAAGCACAACAACAAGAGACAGTATGCTGGACACCAGTGTACACATATCAGCATGACTGCCGTCACCTCCGGTTTACGCCACTTTTGGTAATTGTCAGGTTTATCGTGGTTAGTAATAGTGGTAAGGAAGTCTCCATGATGAAGTGCCTTGCCATTTGCCTCGCACCCTAAAGGTCGTGGTTTTGTTTCACGGCAGCACCGTTGGGTTCAGAAGTGCAATTTATTTGTTTAACGTTGACCCCAGCGAATCATTGCCGGAGCTACGGCGTTCTTACTCTTTGGGACACTCTTAGCATACAGCTGGCCATTCTCTTGAGAGAGACCAAGCCATATGGGATAAAACATGGTGGAATGAAATTGACCCTTTCGACTTTAACCTTTAAGAAGGAAATTGCCTTATTCTGTGATGATTTAGAGTATGGGGAAGCCCTGTAGCATTTTGTGTGGTTCTAATTACGTTGAGCCGCCCACAATGAGAGTGACTTCCATTCCCATTGAAGCCTCGATTTGGTGTAGGACGTGTACTATGTCGCAGGTATGCATCCTAGGTCACACGACTATAACAGAGTCTGCATACAGTCGGGGAACCATAGGCTGACCCTGTGCAGTAGGGGTGTTGGGGCTAGGCCCATTTGTCCATGTTTTGGGACCGTTAAAAGCTCACAGCATAGAAGATGCAATATCACCGGCCGCTGGCAGCAAGGAGTAAAATACGACTGGCTACTCCTGAAACCCCTGCAACATAGTGCAGTCGCTACACCAGATCGAGACATCAGTGGAAAGGGCAGTCACTCTCATTGTGGGCCACTTATCGCTTAATGTACCTTTTGTATTTATTTAAAGAAAATATAGAAATTTGTAATTATTTGTCAGCAATTGCATTGTTTCTTTCAGTGAGTTTCTTAAACAGCATAGAACCATATATTCTAGGAGGTATTGCATTATGTTCCATGGACATACCAGTTTTCTTGTTACATTTTCTTTTTGAGTTTAACATTGAAGATGTTGTAAATAAACTAGTTGGACAGAAAAAGCAGTAAGTGGAAGGGTTTCCACTTATCCCCAGAATAATTCAGGCTCATAAACATAGGGCCAAGACTTGGGTTGAGGGTGAAAAAATGAATTGTTACTAAACTCAGTGGGAGCCGCCATGCTGTAGTGACTAGAGCTTGCCTGCGGATTAGAAGTTCATAAGTTCAGGTCTTGATGGGGCCCCACTTTTTTTCAGAAGTGACTTTAACTCCTAAGTTGAGCTATCCTTAGATGCCTACCAAATAAAGTCGTGGGAATTAAAGGCGACTGACGTTATTTTGACCACATCGCCCACCGAGTGCCCAAAAAAAATAAAACACACACATAAACATTTTTAAAAAAACACATTTTGCTTGCTGTCTAACCATAACCTATTTTTGTGTTATTTATTTATTGTTATTATAATTAGTTTGTTCACTAAATCTGGGTACGGTTTGCGGATCAGTTTCAATGGTTTTATAATGACTTTCTGTGTACAACTGATTAACAACTAAAATAGATGGTTTCAGATAACTGTTAAAATTTAGCTTAAACATCTTATTGGAGTGTTTCACCACATTGAACTAACTCTTTTGCACTAGCAAGGATTTACATGTTTACCACGATTACACTTGTCTTAAATTTGTGTGTGTGTGTGTGTGTGGGGGGGGGGGGGGGGAATTCTAATTTTGAAACTCAGCCTGGGTAGTTATTTAGTAAGCTTAATGCTCCCTACCCCCCCCCCCCCCCCTCCCAACCAGAAGTGTCAGTTTTGCAGCTTCTCGGGGCAAAATGGATCAAGTAGTATATTTCCAATATAAATTTATATTACAAGGAGATTATTGAAAGTTAAACTAGAACAAAGGTCACACAGATTTCAAATCTTAGATAAGAGTAACAGGAACCAAAACACTGGTCTCAAGTCCTTTTGTCATCACCATCATCAATATGTTTTTACGGCGATGCCAGGGGATCATCGCCGGAACTGTGGAGCTCGTGCTTTGTGTGGTGCTCTCGGCAGGCGGTTGGTTAGCTGCAGAGAGAGACCAGGCCATATGCAATAAAACCCGGTGCAGTGAAGTTGATCCTCTCAAACAGGTGCCATGCCAGTACACACAGGCAGTCATGGTCTCCCCTCTCATGTGATCAGGTTAACACTGTTGCCCCGTCCCATCCATGTGGCCAAGTCATCTAATTGTTTAGCTCCTGTCTTTCTTCTATTCTTGTGCCAGTATCTGCTTGGTGTGGCTAGGTGTCACAGCTTTAACAGCGATGAATAGTCGAGCCGGGGCAGGCTCAGTAGGCTGTGATGTTGGGATCTTAGGCTGTCGTGACTGCATCTTATTCTAGGTCTTCGCCTCTTGGTGTTTCCATTTTCATGTTGTTGTGATGGGGTCCTGAGATACCCCTTCCCCTTTTTCAAAAGTAGATACATATCAGCTAATGGTCAGTCCCCATTATAACTTAAAGGAACTTTATTTACTGTTGAATAGGTACTTGTTCTTCCATGAGGAATGTTTAAATATATTTCTGCAGTATGAGTTCCTAAGACATTGACCTTTTAGGGGTTAAAGAAGCTAATTTTCCCCTACAGTATACTATTACTTAGCGTCACTAATTTAAATAGGGGGATTAAGGATCCCAGTTGACCTACTAGCCAAGGAGTGTTTTGACTGGGTATGTGACAATTGTACACTTGCCTGCAGACTGGAAGGTTGTGTGTTCGGTTTTTATGGAGCCGGATTTTTTTTTCTTTCAATACCGACCTTGGCTCCCAGGTCGACCCAGCCCTGAGTGGGTACCAGGACAGTCATGGGAAGTAAAGGTGGCCGGCGTCATGCTGACCACGTCATACACCAAGTGCCGATTGGTCTCCACAAAATATAGGTCTAACCCTATATGCACAGTACGCCTGAAGGCATGAAAAAAGGGTCCTTTACTTTGCTTACTTACGTGACAGTTGTAGCTGTCGCTGGTGGCATCGTTGGATTCATAGCACGTCAGTCATTTTTCATCAGTGAATTTAATGGCAGGCGTCTCCTTTAAGTGTTGGTAATTTGGAATAACGGTTTAGTATTCTAATGTCTCAGGCTAATGGACTAATCCGCCCCCATTGTTCTGGGGCTGCAACATTATTATAGTTAGTTTCAAGTTGCAGCCTTGCATGAGAATGTCACTACTAATGCATGTGATATTTTTGTTGATTTCTGTTTACTTTCATCCCACCACCTTCCATCCCCCACCACCCACTGGCAACTTTGGCAAAATGAATTTTTCTGCTGCTGGGATGTTGGTCTTTGGCAAATAGAAACAGCTACACATTTGGCCAGAGCTATCTGGGGTACAGGGGCCTTTATGGAGGAAGGACAGGCAGCTATCTCTCCAGCTATCAGCAGCGGCAGCAGCAACGGGATTCTCTGGGGAGCTCAGAAGACAGAGGAGGTTCAGCTGAAGTGGGTCGAATACAGGACCGCATCTCTTTTGGTGGGACCACCACCACCACCACTGCTGTACCTGGGTCGACCCCGTCTCCTAATTATGTCACCGCTGCTACTACTGTCACTACTAGCACCTCAACCACCAATTCAGTATTCAGAAGGTGTGTGATTCTAATTCCTACTGCTTCTACCGCACTACATTTTAATACTTGGTTTTGCTTTACAATGTGTTTGTGGATTATTTAATTTTAGCTTATTATTTCAGAGTTAAACATACTTATATACTGACTTTGGTGTAGATGGAGTGAAATTTGTGGTACCTCGTTAACTCTTTTAACAGCATAAACCGTGTTGATCAGCATGGAAATGTTAGTGTTTTTATTTCTCCAGAAGTGCTGGTTTATTGGTGAATTGACTTGCAGATGTGTATCTTTCATTTACATCTGTTTTCTGTAGCTTTCAGTTGGGCAGAATTATAACCAGACAATATTTGTATTTCAGAGGCCTTGGATCTTCCTTGTATCTTGTTATTATAATAGTATCTCCCAGAAACTCTTTTGGAAGGTTTTCTCCATAAAGTCGCTTCTACCATGGCATGCCAGAAAGCCTCTTTGCTCTTTGTTAATTCTTCTTCAGCATTCTGAACCCTTGAGGTTCATTACTGCAGATATTCATCTGCCTACAGTCATCTCTCTAATTTTTCTTTTCTTTTTTACTTGGTGACTCTTAAGTGTTTGTAGGTCTGCATGTATCTCTCCACCATCTTCTAGGTCTGCAGTTTTAGTTTCTGTTACATGATATTCTCACTTTGTGCTCCAACCTTTGCATCTATAGCACTCATGATACTAGTAATTAGTGTTGATGTCAATATATTATGAATGTTACTGATGCTTTTCTTCATTCACTGCTTTTTGCATCCTTGATGGGTCCAAAGATTTGTTGTGAGACTTCTCAAAAGATTATGTATGATAAAGCTTCTCTCAGTTGTGCTTCACATTTCAGAGCCATGTAGGACAGTTGGTCTTATGAGTGTTTTAGATATTGTGATCTTGTAAAGAGTATTTGATTTTTTAGTAAACTACCTTTCTACCTTAAATGTCTGAGATTTTAAAAACATCCCGGTTTACCTTGGTTTTGTTTTAAATTATTATATTTAAATACCTTTCGTCCTCTAAATGTCTGAGGTTTTAGAACATACCAGTTTACCATTGTTTTGTTACAAATTATTATATTTAAATAAATTGTTTTCCTCCAAATGTCTGATTTTAGAACGTACCAGTTTACCTTGGTTTTGTTTTAAATTATTTATATTAAAATACATTTCTTCCTCTAAATATCTGAGTTTTTATAACATATCAATTTACCTTGGTTTTGTTTTAAATTATTATTTTTAAATAAATTTCTTCTACTAAATATCTCATATAGCTCATGCTAGTTTGCCTTGGTTTTTTTTTTCTTCAAGTATTTTCATGGTCACTCACTGTGTTTTAACCATCTGTACAGTTAACTTCCTTTCATTCATTTCATTGTCCCTTAGAGAGTTTCTCTTGGATGTTCTCATATACTCAGTCCCTTCACTTCCCATTTCAGTGTCTGTCTGGTTTCTCTCTTCATCTCCTATCTCTTCTCAGAATGTGTCCAGTCACAGGACAACTAGACAGTAAATTCTTCTTTGTTTCCTGTTTTTTCTTTTTTCATTGGATCTCAAAGTATTTTTATGCTAATTGCTTTTGTAGCATGTTGCTTACTGACTTGTGTGCACCCATCCTGTTTTTTTTTTCATGTCATGATTGCTGTGTTTGTTTCCTGTTTCAACAAACTTTTGCTCCTATACTAGCTTACAGTTCCTGTATGGTCACTTACTGACGTTAATATTTCAGTTGTGAACATTGGGGGAAAACAAGAATTTGGTGATTCCGCAAGCTCCGAGGTTGTTAATTGCATACATTTGTAGGAAAACTTCTCTTTGGGCTGATAGTGTCAGACCTGAATTTGTATAGGCCACTCGGCACTCAATGGATGATGTAGGTAACATCATGCTGGCCAGCTTTGCTTCCTAGGACTCTACCTGGTACCCATTTCAGGCTGGATCTACCTAAACTAGAGCCGAGGTCATCTATCAACAAATCTGCCTCAGTGAGGATTTGAACCATAGACCTCTATGCCAGCAGGTGAATGTCAGCGAGTAGGCTACTATGACTCCCTGATTCTGTCAAACTGATAAAATATTCTGGGTTTTTTCCCTACCTTCTCAATGACTATTTGCCAGGTCATTTGAGCCACCAAAGCGAGATGAAGAGACAGAGACACAACGAAAGGCTCGGGCAAAACATGCTCGGCAAACCAGGAGGTCTACGCAGGTAGGGTGAAATAATGTCTTGTAACTTATATTTTATGGTCTGGGTGCATTTCTATTTTTTTGTTTCATTATGCATTCGTATAGTTACTATGGATCAGTGATTTTTCGGAATCATAAGCTTTTAGGAATCAATCTTGGTTATGAATCATCATATTATTGATCATTAGCTACATTGGATCAGTTATGATTATTATTTTTTTTAAATAAATCAGTAGTTATTGTCGTCCGTGGCTAAGGTGTTGCGAGTCCGACTCGTAATTCCAACGTACTGGGATCAAAACCCACTGCTGGCTGCATGGATTTTTATCATGGTATGAGGCGTCGCAGGTCAACCCAGCCTAAGATGGGTACCAGGATGTATGTCATAGGGAAGTAAAGACGGCCGGCGTAATGCTGACCACATTACCCACCAAGTGCCGATTGGTCTGTAAAAATATGGGTGCTCTTCCCATATGCCCGATGCGCCTACAGACGTAAAAAGGGATCTCTACTTTTTTACTCTTTAGTAGTTATTGTGGATCAACAGAAACCATTAATCAGTAGCTGCATAAAAGTGAAGTAAAAGTTAAGGACCCTACCACGCCTTCATGTGTATTGAGCATATAGGGCCAGACCTACATTTTATTGACCAATCGGCACTTGGTGGGGATTGTGGTCAACATTACGCCAGCCGTCTTTACTTCCTTGACTGCATCTGGTATCCACTGAAGGCTGGGTTGAACTGGGAGCCAAGGTCATTTTTTAAGAAAGCCTTTTTCTGTCAGGACCCGAACTTGTGAAGCTTACTTTTTTTTTACTTAGTCACTCCTCTTCTACCTTGGGGTTTAGAGGTTTGCCAGAGAGATCACCAGATGTCTCAGTCAACAGTTTTCTTTCTGGCTTTGTTCAGTTCGTCCTCTGTCAGTTAGGGACTGTCGGATGTTGTCTTCCTAGCAGACCCTGGGTCGCTCTAGAGGTCTGGTTCCCTGGTTCTTAGCCTCCCATGCCTGCCATGGTGACCGATTTTCTCCCATTCTGCATACATGTGCCAACCATCGTAACAGTGACTGATCCACTCGGGTTTGGAAGGACTGGGTATCAAGATCTTGCCGTATTGTCTCATTGCGGACTTTGTATATTGTGAAGCAATAGCTGTTATTCAGAGCATTCAGTAACTGGGGAACCGCTGTGGTGTAGCGGCTAGATGCTCGCCTGTGGATCGACAGGTCATTGGTTTATGTCCAGACGAAGGCCGACTTTTTTCTTCAAAAAATAACAAAAGGACCTTGGCTCCCAGGTCAGCCAGGCCTTATAATGGGAAATAGGTACAGTCATGGGAGGTAAAGGCGGCTGATGTTGACCACGTCACCCACCTGTGTTGATTGTTCTCTAAAATGTAGGTCTAGCCCTATATGTCCAATACTCCAGAAGGCAAGGGTCCTTTATTTTACTTTATTTAGTAAACCTGCCATTTACTGCCTTTGTTTTACCACTTTTGCTTATTCAGTGACAGCATAATTGTTCTGAATTATTTCAGGGTGTCAGCCTAGAGGATATTGAGAAGGCAGAAGAATCACTGAAGTCTGACAACAAGGATAGCACCGGCACCAGTGGCACATCATCGCAGCTGCTGCCTGCTCGCAACTCTGTCATCTCGAAGGGAAATGTGCCATCTGGTAGCGGTGAGATGACCAGCATCACAGGGGTGACCACGGCCACCACCACCACCACTACCACCAGCATTCCTTCTACAGTTGTTGGAGGCAGTGATGGTGACTTCAAAGAAGACAGATCTGTCATGTCTGGTTACCGGCTCAGAGCAGCTGAAGATAAAAATGATGTAATAATACAGTAATTATACATATATATCATTGGCACTGTGCTAACGTCAGCAAATTCCAGACTTCCATTTTTTTAATTGAGAAAATCATTTTGGAACATTTGAGGTGTATCAGAAAAATCAGATGAAAATTATGCAGTGTAAAAGTAATACTTCTTTTGGAGTACGAATTTACACCTGTGTTTTTGTAAACAACAAATAACAGTCCTGAAAATAGTTAGGTAAAAATCACCAGAACTGGACTCAGGTGGCTTTGGCATAGTGCTGACAATATGGATTTTATCTTTTTTGAGATTTTAAGTTACAGTCTGCATACACTGATAGTTGAATAGTGTAAGGAACATATGGCGCAACCTGAGTTAATAACTGACAGTAAAAATCTTGGAGGCACATCTTCAGTCCAACTTGCTTGTCTGAAAGGAAGAGATTGAGAAGAGAGGGATGACTATCAGTATCTCCTAAACTAAAACCATGGTATCTCAAGAATGGAGAAGAAACGTCAGATCATGATGGCACAGTATGCACTGGAGCAGGTCAACCAGTTCAAATACCTTGGAGTTGTAATAGACCAAAATAGAGGCATTAAGACAAAGCTGGCTACTCGAAAAGCAGCTGCTAGGAGACTTTCCTAATTCACAAACCGAGGGTTTCTCAGCAAAAGAGAAATTGGCAAGAGGATGAATATGGCTGTTTACCGCTCTGTTATGTGCCAGTCCTGACCTACAGGTGTGATTCATGGGCAGTGACAACAGCTCACAGATGTCAGCATCAGGCTTTATAAATGAGATATCTGAGAAAGGTGGTCCAAGTGACAAGACGGGACAAAGTTGGCAGTCGGACAATACGTCTAGATCTTGAAGGCTATGCCTTACAAACTCGAGTGAATCACATTCATGATGGTTTGGGCATGTATGCAGAATGGGAGAAAATCAGCCACCATGGGAGGCTAAGAACCAGGGAACCAGACCATCAGTATGACCCAGGGTCCGCTAGGAAGACAACATCCAGCAGTCTCAGACCCACAGAGGACTGGAATAAAACAAAGCCAGAAAGAAAACTGCTGATAGAGAAGACTGACGATCTCTCTGGCAAACCTCTACACCCCAAGGTAGAAGAGGAGTGACTAAGTAAGTAAGTAAAAATTTTGAAAAAAATGAATTTCTACTGTGGCAGTGGAAGGGACTCATTGATTATTTTGCACTCACTAGAAAGAGTGGTTAGATCACTGGGCTGTCATGTGGAAGACCCAGTTTGAGTCCTCATTAAAGAGGTCATGGAGAGATGACCGGCATCACCACCAGCATTCCTTCACCAGTTGTTGGAGGCAGTAATGGTGACATCAGAGAAGACATATCTGTCATGTCTGGTTACAGGCTCAGAGCAGCTGAAGATAAAAATGATGTAATTAGAGTTTTTACAATTATAGGGTTTTTATTTCCTATTTCTTTTTCTTCTTCTTCTTCTACTCCTCCTACTCCTGCTTCTGCTTCTTCTTAGCGTTCACAAGCTGTAAATTCTGGTAGAAAGTTCTTGTTGTTCGTCTATTTCTAGACCTTGGTCTTGTTGCAGAACTTGAGTTTTGCATTCACATCCATTTTATAGATCTGGCTAATTTATAAATAGACTGTTTGGCTGCTCGCCTCTCAGGCAGATGCACTCGGACTTTAAAGAAAAGACTCCTGATTAGTCGTCTATAATGTGCTTATTAGGAGGGCAGTAAGTCCCCCCCCCCTTTCCCCTCTCAGTGAGACCCCGGAACCCACCCAGACTGACTGACTGACTTTCTACCCCACCAGGACATCACACAAGCGATAAACACCCGATGACACAAAGTGCCACCATGCGGATGAGGATCGCCGTGGAGAGGTCCCAGAAACCGCGTTCAGACATCTGGCCATATTTATGGCCTGCCTATATTGCGGCCCCTGGCAAAAGCCAGAGTAGGGCTTCAAATGACAAAAAATTTCGTCCTGAAAAGGACAAAACTGGATAACCCACCCAGAGAATTTCTTGAGATTTTATTGACTGTGAATACCCACATAGTTAAATAGTATGAAGAGCATACGGCACATCAGTTAATAACTTGCTTTATTGGCAAATTTTTTCTTCTCAGTATTCATGCCCTCTGGCATTGGTAATCACTTGTATCCACAACATTCTGACACAGATGATCTTTCGTGCCTTGACATCAGAATCATTTCTCTCGGTCTTCCACTGCCTCCTTTCCCCTCCCATTTGACAGCTGTAGCAATAGCAGGCTAGCTACTGAGCATAAAATAACCTTGTAAAACCACACAACAACCAGTAAACACTTGGTTTGTGTCATCCTGGAGAGGACATGCAACTAACTTGTGACAGCTGGACATATTGTATAACCCCAGCTGAGGGTAGAGGGACTGCTAGAAATATTTCACCAGCATTTGCTGCAGAGATCACACTCCATAGTGATGATGACACTACGTTTCTTATGTACATCAATATGATATCTTTTACTATGCTCGCATTTGAAATAGTGGTTGGCACTTGTGTTGTGGTTTACAGCTAGGCTGCGATACCTACACCTTTCACTCTGTCACATCTGATTTCAGCAGAGTCCTAATTAGTTGCCTTTTATAACACGTTTGTTAGGGGAGCGGAGGGTCTGTTGTTTTGTTTCTCCAAATGAGGCCCGCAGAACCCACATTGAGGCATCAGTTGGAAATAAAAGTGTTGTACCTTGTTTTTTTAGATGTGATAAATAGTTTCGCCTGAGATAATAACAAATGCATTTTTCCTTTAGTCTGCTGAAGTGTCTAGTACAAGAAGTAACTATAGGAGAGCCAGAGAAGACAAAGATATGAATGCGTCTACCGGTGTCACTAGCAGTGAGTATTGTTCCTTACACGACACACACACATGCACGCGCACACACACACACACACACATGGAAAAACACAAACACACTTTTATTACTTTTTTTTTTAACGTGTATCTTATAATGAAAGATATGTTTAGTTGTATGTGGTGGAAGCCTTCATGTGGAGAACGGACAGCCAAAGGTGAAGAGAGCTGACGAGACAGACAACAGAAACTGGTGACTCAGTGACACACAGTGTTACAGGGATGATGATTATGATGATGATGATACAAATCGGTCAGGTTCCTGGTTGGGGGATCATTTATTGAAGGACTGCACAGATATGTATGTAGGTATGTAGATAGGTTGGGACTAGTATGGACGGTGGTCCTGGTGCAACACTGGTGTTTCAGCACCTCTGCATCCCAAAAAGGTGCCAGCAGGTGACTGTTTAGTATCTTGTGTCATCTGCTGCCAACAAGTGACTGTTTAGTATCTTATGTCCTCTGCTGCCAACAAGTGACTATTTCATATCTTATATCCTCTGCTGCAAACAAGTGACTGTTTAGTATCTTATGTCATCTGCTGCCAACAGGTGACTATTTAGTATCTTATGTCCTCTGATGCCATAAGTTACTATTTAGTATCTTATGTCCTCTGCTGCCAACAAGTGACCATTTAGTATCTTACCTCCTTTCTTCTTTTATGAAATTTTTAGGAAAGAACCACATCAGAATGTCAGTTCTTCTTTCTATTTGCAGCGTACATACCACGAAGTCAAAGAACCAGTATTCAGCCGCCAGCAGACTCAAGTTTGTCTAGTCAAAGTTTGTTGCGGTCCTCTTCATTACGGGCAAATCGCCAGGTTGACCAGGTCATACCTCGAGCAGAGGAAGAGGCAAAAAAAGATGAAGGTGAGGAATACTGTATTATCTTTTAAAAAATGATCGCATGCTGTGTATGAAGTATCAGATTAGTAAGTAGTGTGGTATAAATTATAACTAAGTTTAAGCCAGTTTGTAAAAATGAATATTTGTTTTTACTCTGCTAGAAAGATATAATTTTATCAGCAGGTTTCTCTTATACTGTGTTTGAAAGGTGTAATTTTATCAGCAGGTTTTTACTTTTACTTTCTCAGAAAGATCTAATTTTATCAGCAGTTTTTACTTTTGCTCCGCGAAGATCTATTTTTATTAGCAGGTCTTTACTGTTACTCTGTTAAAAAGATCTTTTTTTATCAGCAGGCTTTTACTTTTACTGTGTTAGAAAGATCTAATTTTATCGGCAGGTTTTTACTTTTTCTGTATTAGAAAGATCTTTGTTCATCGGCAGTTTTGACTTTTACTGTGTTAGAAAGATCTGATTTTGTCAGGAGGTTTGACTTTTACTTTGTTAGAAAGATCTTCAACAGGTTTTACTTTTGCTAAGAGTTAGAGAGATCTTAGTTTACCAGCAGGTTTGACTTTTACTATTTGTTAGAGAGATTTTAGTTCATCAGCACGCTTTACTTTTTATTTGTAGAGATCGTTTTCATCAGCCATCAGCAGTTTTACTTTTACTGAGTTAGAAAGATCTTAGTCTATTGCGTGGATCTTTTCTGGCTTAGCGCAAATGTTTGAAGTGTGGTAATAGTGGCTAAACTCTCACCTTCTAGCCCTATGGTCTGGGTTTCAGATCCACACTGAAGCAGAATTGTTTTCCCTCCAAAACTGACCATGGCTGCCAGGTTTACCCAGCCTGAAATGGGTATCCTGTAATGTCCTGGGAAATGAAGAAAGCCTGTGTGATGTTGACAAACTATCAAGTGAAAGAGGGTCTGTACACATATATGTCTATCTAGTACATTATACCTGACGTGCAAAAGACATGAAAAAAGTCTTTTATAAATTTGAAGCTGATGCATTGGTTTTTTAAAATGTTTTTATTGTGAAACTTTATTTGCACTTTATACAGTATTTGTTGAGTGCTCATATGCCATTTATCTTTCTTGACAAAGAAAGTATCATTATTTTTCATAACTTCTTTGGAACAGCAAATGGTCAGGAAAAGAAAGAAGAGAAGAAAGAGCCATCATCTATTCGAGCAAGGAGACAACGAAGAGAGAGGCGATCAACTGGCATTGTTATGGATAATGAGGTAAGTGAATGCACAACAGACAGTTCACTGATTTATTCTTGTAAGTAGTTCACAAATTTAATCTCTCAGGCAGTTCACTGATTTAATCTCTCAAGCAGTTAACTAATTTAATCTCTTAAGCACTTCACTAATTTAATCTCTTTAGCAGTTCACTGATTTAATCTCTCGAGCAGTTCACTAATTTAATCTCTTAGGCAGTTCACTGATTTAATCTCTCGAGCAGTTCACTAATTTAATCTCTCGAGCAGTTCACTGATTTAATCTCTTAAGCAATTCACTAATTTAATCTCTCAGGCAGTGCACTAATTTAATCTCTCAAGCAGTTCACTAATTTAATCTCTCAAGCAGTTCACTAATTTAATCTCTCAAGCAGTTCACTAATTTAATCTCTCAGGCAGTTCAATGATTTAATCTCTCAAGCAGTTCACTAATTTAATCTCTCAAGCACTTCACTAATTTTATCTCTCAAGAAGTTCACTGATTTAATCTCTTAAGCAGTTCACTGATTTAATCTCTCAGACAGTTCACTGATTTAATCTCTCAGGCAGTTCACTAATTTAATCTCTCAGACAGTTCACTGATTTAATCTCTCAAACAGTTCACTGATTTAATCTCTCAGACAGTTCACTGATTTAATCTCTCAGACAGTTCACTGATTTAATCTCTCAGACAGTTCACTGATTTAATCTCTCAGACAGTTCACTGATTTAATCTCTCAAGTAGTTCACTGATTTAATCTCTCAGACAGTTCACTTATTTAATCTCTCAAACAGTTCACTAATTTAATCTCTCAGGCAGTTCACTAATTTAATCTCTCAGGCAGTTCACTGATTTAATCTCTCAGGCAGTTCACTAATTTAATCTCTCAAACAGTTCACTAATTTAATCTCTCAAGCAGTTCACTAATTTAATCTCTCAGGCAGTTGACTGATTTAATCTCTTAAGCAATTTACTAATTTAATCTCTTATGTATTTGCCCTTCCATAACTGCTACTATCTCATATGTATGGTATGTTTCATTATACTATATATAACAGCAAGGAATTAAAAGTAGAGATTTTGAGAGCACACATCTTCCCTGTAGCAATATACAGATGTGAGTCATGGACAAATAGGGGCTCTATGTTATAGACGTGTATGTTATAGACGATTCTCAGAATAGCATGGACCAAGAAGAAAAGAAATACTGATATTCTATAAGATATGTGAACATCAAGGATGATTGGCCAGGAAACAGCATCTTGTCTCAGAAACTGAAATATTTTGGCCATATGAAGCATCACAGCGGATTGGGAAAGATAATAGCAGAAAACATGTTCCAGGAAAGATGGGCAGGGGCTGAGTAGCACACAAAAAAGGGGCACAAGAAATAAGTAACACCTTGGGTGGGAACGTGTTTATAAGGCGGGAGAGGCGGCAAGATATGGTAGCTTCTTTCAGACAGACCGTGATGAGAGTGACGTTCTGCAAAAGATGTTTGTACCTGTAAAAGTAAAGAACCCTTTTCCATGCCTACAGGCTAAGGCTAGACCTATATTTTATAGACCAAAGGGGACTTGGTGGGTGATGTGGTCAGCATCATTCCTGCCACGTTAACTTCCCTGGACCGTACCTGGTACCCATTCAAGGCTGGGTCGACCTGTGAGACAAGGTCATTTTTGAAAAACGCCCGGCCCCCGCCAGAACCAGAACCCATGACCTTCCAAAATGCAGGCGAGTGTCTAGCCATTAGACTCCAGCGGCTTCCTTTTTGTACCTGTGTATATATAAATATTCGTTTGTGAATTATTTTGTGCATTCTTGTTTGTATGTGTGGTATAATCAGTTTATATCATGTTCTGATGAAGGCTTTTTAGCTGCAACATTCATTTTGTCATTCATGAGTGTGGTATTGTGAAGCTGACTAGTTAGTTCTGCTGCCAACTTGGATTGACAAATCAGGCAAGGAGCCCACATAAGAATCACCCAGTTGGTTCACTGCTGACCTGGTTGAGACTTGGTTCTTTACCGTAAAATTATTTTAAAATGTGCAGTTGTGTGTGATAACACTGGCTTTTCCCCCTTCTGTCATAGGATGGAGAAACAAGCAAAGATAATAAAACTGATGAGGACAAAAAGGAAGATGTGAGTTCTCTCTGGTGATTCAAGATCTTTGAAAGTTTTTTTTTTTTTTTAAAGTTGTCATGTAATGTTGGTAATCATGCCTGTAGTGTCCTTTACCCTTTTACTTATAAGGAGATTCAAGAAATATGATACAGACTGGTGACTATCAGTGAGGATACAAGCTGACCTGGGAATGGCCACCTGAAACTACAAACATTCCTTAACTGGTGCCTGCTCAGAATAGAGGGAATTAAATGGTATAATAGAAACACTATTGTAGGCCTTTGGGAGAGAACTAAACAGATTTTGTAAGAAATAGTTTAGAAAATGTTTATCATAGACATAAAGGAAGACCCAAAAAACACATGGAGAAGGAAGCTGGAGAGTGAAGTTAAAAAGATGGGGAGGGCTGCATGTGAAGGATAGAACGACTTGGCGTGAGCTGGTTGAGGGCCTATGCTCAACTGGGAGATAGAAAGGTAGAAGAAGAGTATTGCGCTTTGCCAAGGTTTAAAAACTGTCCACAGATGCACAGTGTTTATTAATAGATTGGATTATTCTACACTGTCTTGACCTCACCTGGGTTACCAAGGACCGCACCATCTAAGATATAGATAGGATATATAAAAATAAAAAGAACTGTTTTCAAAGAACGAGTACATTTATGGGTTCTCCTTAAAACTACGGCCACTTATTATGCACTTTTTATGGCGGCCGGGGGAGTACGCCATAGTTCAGTCTCCTGGCCGCATTGCAATTACAGAGTGGAAAAGGCACGAATCACAAAACAAAGTGAGGTCGACATGGCTGGTTGACCACGCGCTGCGACTCAAATTAGCGACCGCGTTCTTGCGACGCAAGACTTAGTGGCCATGGATGTGAGACCTGCGGATCTTTATGTCTCAATGAGCGATAAGCTTGCGTGGTTGCGGTGGCTAGCTGAGCATAGAGTTATAAGGAACATGCAGGCATGTGGCTCATGCAACTGTCCTATGTCGTTAGCGACGCAGGAGGACTGCTGTGACAGATACTCTTGGCGTTGTCGTCGTTGTAATACTCGGTAAGTTTTTGACGTTACATGTGTTACCCTAACCCTAACCCTATTATGACAGCAGTGCTATCGCCAATTGTGTCGTTCCCTCTGTTTCACTCCGTAATTGCAATGCGGCTAGGAGACTGAACTCCGGCGTACTCCCCCGGCCGCAATACTAAGTGCATAATAAGTGGCCGTAGTTTTAAGGAGAACCCATTTATGAGTATGTTATATCTCAGATCAGGGCAGACTTGAATAGTTAACTACCTGGATACAAAATATGGCTGGCTATATAGGCTTTAAATACACAAACATCATGTCTTTTATAATATTCATCTTTTATAATATTCATAATATGCATATCATCATATGATCATAACATGCTTTATTAGTAAAATACAACTGCTGTGCGAAAGATGGTTGACTGGAAGGGCCGAATGTAAGACGGGCCTGCGTGTCCAATTTGTGACCCTTTGAAAATAAAGTTCGTTCGTTCGTTCGTTCCTTGTGCCTCTGACCAAGGAAGTAATTAGACAGTCAGCTGCAACTATTGACACAGTGACACACAATGTTTTGGACTTATGATGGTGATTCTGATGAGGGGAAATAAACTTGAAAACTTATTGACAGCTGATAAAATGATCGGGAAAAAAGATCAAGGAGAACACAGTTCTACCCATGCCTTAATAGTTTGGCCATAGGGCCTAAGTGGAAAGAAAGCACACAGCCTGCTGAGACTTTGGTGATTATATGAGATGGAGAACCAACACTTGTCAGCAGAGCAAATCGATAGTAACAGAATAAACAGAGAACCTAAGAACCTACATCAAAGCACTTGAGACGTTCCCTTAAATACTAACTCTCCATGTTCGGCATCCGGCACAAAGTTTTGGTTATATTGATGCAATCAGCAGTCTGAGTGTGTGTTTGTCCTTTCATATTGAGAGTCGACCAGATCCCCTGGGCATTCCCACCTCTGCATCGTTGGCCTCCGAGTGTATTGATAGTTATAAGCTTTCAACTATGTGTGCACAGATAATTCAAGTACCTCTGTGTGGTGTGTATATATATAATATATATATTTGGACCGTATATTCTTCAGGATGCAAGGACAAATAAAGAAAACAAACCAGAAGAGGATAAAAAAGATTATGTGAGTAGAACATATGTTGTTGCAAGTTGTTTGGTACTGAAATAATAGTCTTGTCTTTCTGTCATTTCTGATTGTGAGTTATCTTCCAAACAGAAACATTTCCTAGACGTAGCCTGGCATCCCTGTGAACAGTTTCTTTTCTTCTTAACCATTTCACCTCAAGAAGCTGAAAATCGGCCACTTCCAGTTAGGTTTTAATTCCCTGTAATGGTCACTTTTCCGAATTGTCTATAGTGACCTTTTTACGAGAGGCATAGTTAATGCTGTTAGCAAACTTTGCTCCTGTGCAAATGTTTTAGGAGGCCAGGATGTGAATATCTTTACTAACAGTAGCATTTAGGGTGGTTTCCCTTGAAGCTAACTAGGTTTGGTTTTTTTAAAGTCAAGTTGATGTCAGATTTTTTCATATACCTCAGTGATTGAGGTCACTGGGTCAGGGCATGAATTACCAGATACCTGTGTTTATTTATTTTTTATTTTTTTTTAGCCCCAAGAATGTATTCCATTTAATACTTCACCCTTTTCATGTTTATTTATTACTGCTTCCGTATATTTCATAAATTGAATGTACTTCTGGATATTGCCTTCCTGGGTCAGATTCACATTGTATCATCATGAGCAGGCATGCTGTTGTCCTTTGGACACTGTCAGCAGGTTCTGAATCCTGCTTCTCTCTTGAATCCGACTGGAAAATGTACACAAACAGCAGAGAAAGCCACATAAGGTACTGGCATTGAGGTAATCCTCCAATGGGTTCAAGTTCCGTTCTTCTCGTACAGATCACTTATAGGTAACTGGTGGTACAGTAATCTGAGATCAGATTGTAGACTTCAGTAAACAGTCCCTGAGTTCAGGAGATCTTTTGCCTTTCTCTGGAATTAGACAGAGTGACTTATCCATCACACTGCACATCCATTTCCTTGTCAAATGTAGACTGGCATCAGTGTACACAGTCCACAGGTTCAGGATCTAGATTCTGCCACTTTGATTTGGACAACTTTCTTCTTACAGCACAGTAGCTTCTGACAGATCGTAGACTGCCATTTCTGCAATCTGCCCAGGGCTCAGGATCCAGTTTTTACATCTCTTTTGGATAAGACTGGGTTCACTGTATCACCCTCACATCCATTCACAGTTGCTTGCAGAGTTCAGCTGTTCATTGTTATTGCCAGCCATTAGGGTCATGGTCCAGAGTCTGCCTTTTTCTTGAATAGGATAGCCTGTGGTCTCCAGCTTCATAAGCTACTGCAACGTGGGAACTGTCATTACCATCACCAGCTGGAGGGGACCATCTTCATGTCTGTAACAAATTAACACAATCTGGATAACATCCACTCTTTGTCTGATAGGGATTGCCGTACTTGAATCATGGTGTTTAATTTAACAAGCATATTTAGGCCCTCACTATAAGATAGAACCTCCCCAAATTGACAGACTATTCTACTTTTCTCCTGAAAGTTTGGAATCTCTAAAGACGTACCCTAATAAGGTGAACAGAGTGTCCGCATAATGACAGAGGGAAATCATCCCCTATGTATAAGCCCCCAGAAAGGTTTCCCCTCCATAACATTGAACCATCCCATTTAAGGGTGTCTGCTCATCATAATACATACAGTTCAAATAAACCACAATGCATCACACATGGCTGACATCTCAGCTAGTTCTTATGTCTGTACATTTCTTTCATGCCACCATTTCCCACACAGGCTTATATCCTTCAACAGAAAAATAAGAACAATGAGGATTCTAAGCAACACTATAAACATGAGCACAAGGATCAATCCATTCCATTTGACAGAAGAGTTACTTGCAGGCTTTCACACACAACATGGTTTCTTCTACAGTATCAAGATGGGTATTCTCATGTCCTACCCATATTAATGGAGTCAAGACATGAATATGAAACATAAGCACTAGAATTAACCCTTACATCAGGTATTCATTTTGTCAGTGAGGACATAAACATCTTCCACAGACATGTAGTGAACAACTATATCATAGCTCATTTAAGAGTTGATAGACAAAGCACTTGTTTCATACATGCATTAATGAAAATATACATGCATATTGATTCTTTGATCATAGCGTAAATACATGAATAACGATTGCAGCAATATGACATAATATGTAAACAACACTATCCTATGTTCACAATAATTTATGAGCACTGTGTGACCTAATCCATTTTATTCCCGAACAGTAACTTGCGATGTGCAGCATAAAGTAAAGATCCCTTTTCACGCCCTTAGGCACATCAGGCATATGGGAGATGTGCTGTATGAGTGCATTTTAATCTCTTGACACATATCCATGTTGACATCTTACACAACTGCAAACTGCATATTCTGGCATTCCATTCCACATATTGAAAATGTAACAATGCATTAATCTTTCTCCTAGACAAACTCCAACTACCCTTTGCAGATATATATGTTGTCTGCTGTCTTTCCTCCGGTCGCCATGTTTGTCACCCACTTCGCTTCTACTGCTAGAAGTTGTT